AAACGATTTTTTTGATGCTTTGCTCCTTGATTTGAACAATCTATATTTGTATAGTTAATTTTTTTTTCTTGTTGTTGAAATTCTGGCTCCACCCCTGCAAACAAGGGCAATGCACAAGCAAAAATACTAATGCAATTAACGTGATTATGTAAAATTGATGCAGTAGTTGGTATAATTTTAAGAGGAAATAGAGAGCAAAAATAAAATAGAAGTTGATAAAGTGATATTAAAGGTAAATGGGCAATGGAAGGAAATAAAGGAGGAATTAAAATAAATATTTGGGTTCAATAATCAAACATATTCAATTATGACCTTTTTTGCAAATTTCTTAACTAATCAAATTCAATTATGACCTTTTTTACCTAACAGACCTTTGAGAAGGAGATCGACGGCGGTAACAGTTTCCGGCGAGATAGACGGCTGTTGAAAATTCCGAAAATGACGGAGAGGTTAGATGACGACTGAGAGGCTGTGGTGGCGGTGGTTGGCGACGGTAACATTCAGTGTTTGAGTTTGGGTTTGCAGAGAAGCCGATGGGATTTAGGGTTTAGGGTAGAGGTTTTGTTTTGTGGGGTTGGATTGGCGTGGGGAAGAAATCACTGTGATCTAAATACACTCAATAATCATTCATAAAAAAATATATCAATTACCCTCTATATATATATATATAACCTAAATATATAAGGATTGAAAAATAATAAAAAGAAATACTAGGATCATCTTTTATTAAAATCAAGTGTCCACTTTTTTATTTTTCACCATCCTAATATAATAGTTTTAATGTACTATTTTTTTTAATATTCTTATTTTACCTTTCTTACTTTAAAATTATAAGAGCAATTTAAAATTATTTCACCCTCCTTACTTTTGAATTGTAAAAGCAATTAAATTATGTAGATTGGTCATAAAAAGGTATATTTAAAATTTTATTTCCTGCCACTGTAATGAAAAAATAAATTAAAAACTAAACTATTAAAAGGAAAAAAATTATGATAGAGGGAGTAATAAAAATATTAATTATCCGTTTGTTTCGACGTAAAATATTCGTTTTGAAAAATATTTTTATTTTTTAGGTAAAATATTTTTTTATTTTACTTTGTTAGTATTTGACAAAGGTTTAAGTCGAAGTTAAAGTCAAATCTATCGAGCAGGACATATAAAATAATTTGTCGAAAATTTATGAATAAATTATTTTTGTTAAATTTTAATATATTTTTTTCTTCCTAAATATTTTACGATAACCAAATACCAGAAAATAAAAAAATAAAAAATTTCTAAAAAATATTTTACGCACAGTTTACCGTAATTACAAGCATCTCCCTTATGGTTTGAAAAATTACTCGAACCTCCCCTAAAGATAAATTAACCCACAAAGACCTCCCTTTTGTTACAGTCAACACAAGTCAATGACAAATTTTGTTAATGTCATGTACTGATCAATAAATTAAAATTTTCATAGTACCCTTCGTCCATCCCCTCTTTGTCACATATGATACTATAGTCATTTATCATAACAATTTGAGGGCATTTTAGTAAATTAGACAAATTTACTTAGTGTATTTGACGGTCCGTCACTAGGAAGGGAAGTCTGTGTAGGTTAGTATAATTTGAAGGAGAGGTCCGAGTAATTTCTCAAACCACGAAAGAGATCCCTGTAATTATAGCAAATCATATGAGAAGTCTGTGTAATTTATCCAAATATTAAAATCATCCTCTAGACTTGTGTTTCCTACTCTTTTAAATCCTTAAAATATTATTGCTGAAGTGATAGAAATTTTAATAAAGTTGTTTCCTCACATATAATCTATGAAATTAGATTATCAAATCATGGGAGAGAAGCTTTCTTTGAATTGGTTTTATATGAAAATATAAACCAAATATCTTGGCATTTAGAGATGATGTTAGCATATTTTGATTTGGTATTTTCCCTTGAAAATTTTGTAGTATTCAATACGATGATAAAGGATCTTAATAGAACTTCACATTTAGAGATGATGTTAGCATATTTTGATTTGGTATTTTTCCTTGAAAATTTTGTAGTATTCAATACGATGATAAAGGATCTTAATAGAACTTCACATTTAGAGATGATGTTAGCATATTTTGATTTGGTATTTTTCCTGGAAAATTTTGTAATATTCAAATACGATGATAACGGATGATAAAGGATCTTATAGAACTTTATAGGTGACTTAAAATGGTTAAGTTTTGAATTTATTAAGAATTTATCAATTTTAGTATATTATGTCATGAAAAAGCTATTCTAGCATAATTTTGGCCATTGTTTCTCTTTAAAACTGTACTATGGATGGATCAATGTATTTGTGTTGATAAAATTTTGGTATTAAAGTCGTTAGCTATCAAATGATTTATAAGTGTTGTGTACTTACGAATGCATATTGTGTATATACAATTCGAATGAATCCAGTGTACGACATACCGAGGTCAATACATTTTTTACAATACTCATAAGAAACCTTAAACCCTAGTCTATAGTCTATCTAAACCTTAAACCCTTTTCACTCCCATTTTAAGAAAATCATTGTACATGAAAAGAAAAGAAAAAATACATTTATTATACTAAAAAATGTTCCTCAATTGCTTTCATCACCCATCATGCAAGTCGTCCTCGGTAAACTAAGTTTGACCCATTCAATGGATGAAACATTAATTTCTCGTGTGGAACCAACTCAATGAAGCTTATCAGCAAGATTTTTTCATGTAACAACGTTTACAATATTTACGTAAATTTCTGTAACGGTTTTTTTTTTTTTAACATTCTGAGTATATTTTTGCTTCAGCTTTCTTTTTAAGTTTTATTAACTTAAATTTTATCACTTTCACCTGCAAAGTCGTTCTCACTTCATATGCGTACTTAACACTCACTTCTAATCAAAGAATCGAGTTGGGTTATGTATACTCTCAGCAATGACAAAAATATATGTCAGAATTTAAGGCTTTAAAATCCTGAAAAACACAAAGCCATGGTTTGTTTGGCTTCAAATTCAAATGTCCTAGTGTTACAAATTTAATCATTTTGTTCAGCACAAGAAAACCACTTAATCAATTGCCCTTTAGTTATATGCATTGCTTCCCCAACAATTCTAATCATCATCATCATATTACCAGAGTGCCATTCAACTTTCTTTATATTAAGATATTGAACATATCATCATTATTCATTAGTGTACATATTGTCCTTTATATCATTCATTTTTATGAGTGTCACTAGAAATTATGGAGTAAGAAATGATTGCAAAACGTAAGAGGAAAAATATATATTTAGATATTCAATCAAAATGATGATTTATGATTATACATCAGGGGAGCTATCATTTGTAGAAATTCATTTGATAAGTATATAATTTTAAGTCGAGAGTGTCATACAATTAGGGCTGTAATTTGGGTGAGTTAAGCGAGTTTAAGATATAATTTGTGATGAACCCATCATATGAAATGTTAAACCTAAATTCAACCCAACCTTATCTTTAACCCTAGCTGTTCAATTCTAGCCAAACCCATCCTTCTACTTTTAAATTTGGGCTTCTAACTCGGTCTTAAATTCCATGTTAAAAATTGAGGTGAATTTGAGTTACTCATATACCTAATCTTCACACAAAAAATTTAATATGATCTTGAATTAGTTTTAGATTAAATTATTCTTAAACAAAAAAAAAAAAAAAAAAAAAGGGAAGATTTAAAGACATATTATAAATTTTGAATAAATTACAAACAAATTTTTAGAAAATTAATTATCATAAATGTTAACATACAGTAAGTTAAGATTTAACAAATGAAGTTGAAAAAAGAAAAAAGAAAAAATAATCTTTGTTTAAATATTATATACAACGTATTTAAAGTTAAAAATATATATGAAAATAATATTAAAATTCGGGTTCGGATTTGCTCAGGTTGCTAGTTTCTCAACCCAAGTCCAGCCCTAATTAAATTTGGGTTAAGATTTTTCAATTCAGACCTAACCCTATTTGTAAAAATAATTGTTCAACCCCACGAAAAATCAGGTAAGCTCAGGTTTCAGGTTGTCCAACCTAAGTTGCACCCCTCCATACAACTGATTACAAATTCAAATATGACATTTATTCGGTGAGCTTTGCAAAACCAACACAAATAATAATAATTATTATTTTTATTCCAAATAAGATTTAAGATCTTTGATTCTTTATATAATGATTAATGACCTAACAGTGATTATTTAAGGCCAATTTTTATTATTATTATAAAAACCGTGCTTTTATTTTAAAAAATCAAGTAGAGTGCAAATATATAAAAGTATAGTACCAGTGTGATATCCCATTATCTTGTATTCAAATTTTAAAACCAAATTAATAGGAATTTATCTCTGAAACATTTTCCATGTAAAATTTCCCGATGATAATGTGATGTCCAATTATCTTTGTATTCAACTTTGGGTGTAGTCCGAGTTTTAAATACATGAAATGATAAAATAATTTTAAAAAGAAAAAATTGATTCCTAATAGTAATTTAAAAAAAAATAATTGCAAATTATGAAATTAAACCAACCAAACAAACTGTCACAAAAAAAAAGAAAAAGAAAAAAAAAAAAACATTTGATGCAAGATCACAAAATAGTACAAAGATTATTGGCTTCTTTTATAATTTTTAAAAAATAATATTTGCTTCGCTCAATTAAATTCCTACCAACTTATCTTCTGAAATTTCAGTATATAAAACAATATTGATGCTGAACTCCCCACTTTACCCTTGTGCACAACTACTAATAATTTTATATTGTTTTGTATTTCCATCCAAAAACGAGGGCATTTAAGAATCTCAAATCGGTTCGGCGGTTCTGGTTGCCACTAATTACCCGCCGGTCTTGTACTGTAGCCGTTACAAGATATTTCTTGGACTTATATGCAATTACAACCACCCAACAGGGCCATTTTAGTCAATACACATAGAAACAGGTTCGTTTCGTAAATTCCGCCAGTACAGTGCGCTACCTTTTTAAACTGTGTCCCCTCTCTCCTCTCTCCCCACTCTGTCTTGTTGCCATGTTCTTCCTTCATTCTAGAGAGAGAAAGTAGAGAGAGATAGAGTTTGTGAAACATGGTGAATGACTTCATGGTTTGTGTTGATCGGATTATAGCATCGGCATGCTTCGATTCGGTTAATCAGAGAGAAAGACTCCGTGAAGAAGTAGTAGTAGTCACTGAGAACAATGCGAGTTCTCTGAACAATAATGGAGTGGTTGATGTGATCAAGAACATTAACAGTGATGGTGGAGGTGAGGGTTGTTCAAAAATTGTAAGAGAGTGTAGAATTTGTCAGGAAGAAGATGAAGAGCATGAGATGGAAGCTCCTTGTGCCTGTAGTGGCACTCTAAAGGTCTTCACTTTTCTGGGTTTTTTTTCTTTCTTTCTTAAATTTATGTGAGTTTTACATTTCTGACTTGGGGTTTGTGTGGAAAATATGTTTTGTTCTTTATCTAAGGTTGGTTTTTATTAATTTTGCCATGTGGGTATGTGCATTTATTGACTCTTATGTGTTTCTGTTTGAAGGTTTCATTGTTGAAGTTATTTAATTTTTTTAGAATTAAGTAATTTATTTTTTAAAAGTCTAGGATTGATTTTTTTTTTTTTAATCTTGCTATTTATTTATGTTAATTTTTGTGTTGGGAATTTAAGTAATTCCATTTTTTCCTTCCAATAATTTTTATATATTGTAGTACACTCGCCATATTCTAATTTAGTGAGGTCTTTTGTTTTTTGGCTGGGGGTTTCAGGGTAATTAATTGGTTTGTGAAAATAGTTTAATAGATACCTACTTTATGGATATTCTATCCTTCTTTTGTATTTTGCTCAATGTCGATTTTCGCATATCATCTATTATTGGAATTTATTTTTAGTACTTTTCATGATTCATGTGATGAATTTTGGGTTTTTTCTCTGATTGCATGTGGGGGGGTACTCTTGAATTCGAAAATTACTTATTCAATATAGATTAAATTGTGTGTGTGCACACTCATATAGTTTGTAGTTCTATGGGAATTACTTCCGTGAATTTGGTATACTATCAGTATTTGGGCTTTGCTGCAAGATATTATCCCCCTAACCTTCCTAATACTACATTTGAGTCCTTATCTTTATTGGTTCATTTGTCCTCTTGTCGTTAATTATGCATTTAAATCTTTTCGGAAAATTGCTTTTGATGATGTTGACAAGCCCTTTTTCTTGCTTCTTCTTGTTTGAAATTTGAGTTGGTCAAAAAGTTGACGATTTTGTTACTAAATTTTGTTTTAAGGTTTATATCTGCTGTCGTGTTCTATTGATTTGGGCGGATTACCAAGTGTGATGGGAACATGTATCCCCTCTTATTTGTCAAGGATTATTATTGTTGGTTTAGACCCCTCTCTCCATCTCTCTTGAGGTTTATATCAGTTTCTAATGGATGTTTTTGTTTTGTTTCTGGCTGGCTCATTTTCCATCTCATTTTATTTATTTCACTTTCTTTTTAGGTTAATATGTGATTGGTTCAAAAGGGCTCACGTTTAGAATATATGATGCCCTCTTTTTCATTTTTTTTTTTTTTTTTTTTTTTTTGCTTGATATTTGTGTACAGTTTTCCATTTATTGTTTTGGTCAATGGTCATTCCTTTTGTTGTAAGATGAAATGATTTTGATGGAATGATCATTCGTCAAGAATAGTGGGGAATGATGATTCCAACTTTAAAATTGGCACCAAACACGAGAATGAAAAAAAATCCCATTCCATTCCACTTTCTTTTATTTCATTCCACCACACCAAATTAGCCCTTACAGTATTGCTACACAAAGTGAAAGTTTAGATCGATTAACCAATGCAAATTCAAACTAACCAATAGGCATCTTCATGTGGGGTCCACATGATACCATCTCTATGATCTCTATTGATTATTTTGAACTCGTATTGGTGAGTTGATTAGGTATTTCACTTTAAAACGGAATTTTCCTTATTCTTATCTATATTTCGGTTTTGCTTCTTTGTTTGCTTCTCTTAGTTGGTTTGTGATTACTTCTCTAGTTCTCAGTTGCATGTCAGAGAATTTTGAATAGAAAATTAACTCCATTAATGTAAGTTTCATACTTAATTCACTAACAGTTTGCATTAATTTCTATATACGTGTGTGTGACTGTCTGTTATAGTATACTGCTATATTTGGGCTTTGCTTAAAAACCACCATATGTTCTTGTACCATATGTGCTATCATCCAACATTCTTGATGATCCATTTTTGTTCTTATATTAACTTATTACTTGGGTTATGGTTTCTATGTAATTATAATTTTTTTGATATAATTTATGGAGTCCAGTTTGTAAAAGCCTTTTCTTTTCTTAGTTGTTAATTATTGGACTTGTGAATCAGTCTTGGAATAAAAAAAGCCATTACCCTGTATTGGTCTTGCCTGTTCGGGGTGTTGGAACTGACCTCACTTCTGGCATTATTTTTGCACAAAATGACTGCTCTCATACTTTTGAGCATGCATTCTTACACTTGTTTATTTACTATTGAACCAAGCTCAGATTTGTTTAATCCTGTAGTCTCAAAATTTACTGATTTATTTGCCATCATTTTTATTCTTTATTTTTGGTTTTTATCTGCTTTCTTCTTTTACTGGTTTCTTTGGATTTATTGCTAGGTGGAGAATTGTAAATTGTCCACTGATTTTTTTCTGCTCGGGCATGTAGTTTGCTCATAGGAAATGTATTCAAAAATGGTGCAACAAAAAAGGAGATATCACCTGTGAAATCTGCAATCAGGTTATTGGACTTTGGAACTTTATTTTCGTAATTAGATTTGTTTGTGCACATGAATTTGTGTAATTTGAAGAATAATTTGTACAATTCTTTCTTTTAATAGGTCTATTCGCCAAATTATACTCTTCCACTGGCAAGAAGCGACCCTGATGTTATGGCAATTGATATCAGGTAACTGTTTGAGGCTTCACCAATACGACTTATTTTTTTGCGCTTTATGTATAAGCTTAATGTTTGTGGAGTGAGATGTGTCTGCAATTTGTTGGAAAGAATCTGCTTTTAACATTGCTCAGAGAAAATTGTTTTAATATTCATTTCCGCTCTTCATAAATAATGCTCAGTAGGTCGTTCTGTAGTTGCGGGAAAGAAAAGACACATGCTGAATTCTTCCCTACGATACCCTCAAATAGTTGTGAGACCCCCCCTTTTTTTTTCTCCTTCTGCAAGTATTGGGGCATCAATAATAGGTTCTATTAATGAAGCAATGAAGTGTACAAGAAGAGCGAGGAAGACCTTTGTGGGTCTAATTGGTTTCCTTTTCTCTCTTTGTGTGCCTTTCATTTTTTTATCTTTTAATTTACTTTTACAGAATCAAATGGCAACTTGTCAAATCATTGCAATAGTCTTCACCAGTTATGACCTATCTACAAAAAGGCTTCAGGAATACTTCAGTCGAGGATATAGATATCTTCTTGAAGTTTTTCTGTGTACTCTTTTCTTTTTCTACCTTCTAATTTAGCTTTCCCAATATTAGATAGATGCAACATTCTTCATGATCCTTTGCCTTCACTTTCTGAATTGTCACATCCATGCATTTGAAATTTGCTGCAATGGGTCAGTTTTACCAGTAGTCTGGGAATCCTTTTAAATTTTGAATATGCTGCAGTTTTCTCTTAACTCCTTAAATTGTACTGAATACTTTCATATTTATGTTGTATACCAAGAACTGTATTTGTTTCCATAGTTATTGATTGGTTTCAAATTATATATGGATTAGCCCATGATACATGTCTAGGAACTTGTTGCTAAATTGGAAGATCTTCCTTGAAGCACCTTTAGGTCTATTTTCCAATTAACCTCAAGGGTTACTGTTTTTTAACTTATGGTATAACCTCTTTGTTATACATACGACCTTAATGGATGCATGAGATTTAGCTGTTGAATTCTATGTCATGTTGAGTTTTCCTTAAAAGTATATCTGTAATGGTTGCACTAAATTAATGGCAATGAGTTCTTCAGCATCTTTAATCCTTGTTTCATGTTTATCAATGGATTTACTTGAGTTTACCATTAATTTTGGTAGCATGCTTCTCAAGGTCCTTTGTTAACATGACTAAATATTGGATTAGTTTATCTTTCTGTTTTGATTATGAGAGCTTTATTTGCCAATGTAAGGTAGGTGATTTATATCTATATATATATATATATATTGGGGTAATGGGGCTGTTGGTTGCGCCATGGTGTCCCCCACTCATTTGTGTCAAGATTACTCAATAGGATGCACGTACTCACCTGTAAACCACATGCATCATATAAGCCTAGGGAGAGTTGAATGTGAGGCATCTTGTTCTTGAGTCGTCACCACGACTAACTCACCTACATTTGCAGATTTACCATGTGCATCAGGTAATCTAGCAATGCCTCTTGGTGCTTGATATTGATGGGTGTGTGCCAGGGATATGCAAAAGCCCTGCTTGGCATAGTTTTCAGTAAAACTAACCTGGAAGAGGAAATAAAGTATAGCACATTCTAGTGCATATGTTAAAGTAGGATGCTATACAATGTGGGCCTCCCCTTGTTAATTAAACTCGCTTCTATTGCTCTGGGCTAGAGACAACCTCTGTTGGCCCTTATTGCTCGGTTAACCTGCTGCCTCATTATTGTTGTTAAAGGAAAATACATTTTTCTTTCTTTTCTTTTCCTTTTTTTCCCCCAATTTTTTAATTTACTATGTATTTTGGACCCCTAAAACATACAAGGTGTTTCCGGATTGATTTTGTGCAAATTGTGAGTTTGAAGTCTCAACTCTAAACAGCAAAAGAATATAAGAGCCAGCTCAAACTGCTTTTGTGGTCTAATAATAAATTTTTATTAGGACCTAAGACATAATCTTTCATTAAAGAAATAAAATAATCCTAGTTTCGTGATTGGTGTTGGTCCTTTGGTGCCACTTGGTTGAAATAAGATGTGGTTTCACCAAGAGCAGTCATCCTTGGGCGAAAGCATATACGTCACTCACAGGATTTTGTCAACTAGAGGATAAGCTTTGAGCTCTCTCTCTCTCGAAGAGGTGAAGAATGATAAAGGTAGCGTCCAACACCACCACCAACTCCCCCCCCTCGGGGGGCGGTCCATTGAATTTGGTTGCCTGCTAGTTGAGCTTAAAAATTATGCTGTAGTAGCTACTATTTCTGTTAACTATAGATTCATAGAGTTTTGTAATGTTTTTTCATCTCTTTCTTCAGGCAAGCATGGGGACAACACATTAATCTTCGGGATTCTCATTTTCTGGCTTTAGCTGCTGTTGAGCGTCAGTTCCTGCAATCGGAGTATGAGGACTATGCTGTCACAAATAACGGCAGCATTGCCTGTTTCTGCTCCGTAGTTATCGTTGTGAGCAAACCACACAAACCTTTGTCTTTTCTTTTTTAAAATTATTATTTCTTTTGCCTTTCAGACATTGAGTATGAGGGTCTGTTAATTCGTGCAGTTAATGTCAATCTTGCTTATACGTCAACTTCTCTTTGTCACAAGAGATTTTAGGATGGTGCTGGAGTCATCAACTTTCTTCAATGTAAGTCCAAGATGATTTCATTGACTAGTTTGCATGTTTGCATATTGCATTTAAGTACAGTTGATGTATGAGTATGCATACCTCTTTGTGTGCGCACGCATAGGGATGTCAATGGGATGAGTCACTCCTATCTCAAACCTGCCCTGCAATAAAAATTAATTGCCAAATCCACTCCATCCAGTCCCGCTTGGTAGTCGGGACGGATTTGGGTCGACCAGATATGCAATTTTTAAAAAAAATACAATATTGAATATAAATCTCCAGAAAAATGTAAGTAGTAACAAATTCTTAAAAATCGTAATTATGAAATTTCTTAACTTTGCAGTGAATATTTTTATTTAACATAAAAAATAATGAGAAGAAAAAGGATCTGACTAATAATAGATTATATATTTGTTTATTTAATAGCAATCGGGTTGAATTTTGAATCTCTTTCCAAATTTGACTCTAACCAGATAAGAATACTCCCAAATCCGTTCCACTAGGGGTTGGTTAAATTGACTTTGCTATATGTATTCTGCCTTCTCGAATAAAAAATGATTTGAACATTTACTATCATGCTTATGCTGTGAGTATTCAAATTCAAATTTTTTCTTTTAGTGAAGCCAAAACAAGTAGGTGAACTTTACCAACAGGCCTGTGGCCTAGCGGTACAAGGCTCCTACTTCCCAAAGGGAGGTCAGGGGTTCGAACCTCAGTGGAGGCAGTGTGTGTGAGTCCCAACTAGGGAAAAAAAAAAAGTAAGTGAACATTGTAAAAATGTGAGGGCCTTTACAAGCACACGTGTTCGTGTTCAGTTAGCCAATTAAAAACTTGTTAGTTGTCAATAACTAGTGTTCTGCAGAAATCTATGTTGATCTGAACACGTCATTGGATGATTACTTTCTATTGTCGCCTGCAAAGATAGCGTTAGGATTTTTTTAGGCATCTAAATTATTTGAAATTCTGGCAAGTAGAAGTATAACTTCGTGAATTTCAGTTCCAGGTTTCCATTCTTCAGCTTGCTGGTTTTCTTCTCCCATGCTATGTGATGGCACGCTCATGGTGCATAATACAAAGCCGAAGGAGGAGGCAGGTGAGTCATATCTCTCTCTCTCTCTCTCTCTCTCGTTTTCTTAATAACCTAGAAGATTGCCAACAATTCAAATTAATATGGTCTTTTTTTTTTTGTCCTTGTTTCTATTTTCTAATGGTCATGACATTGATTTTTAACTGAGTCAGTATGGCATGAAAACTGGATGTGACAATGTAATGCTAATGGGAAAGTTTGTTATTAATACCTGAACCTTTATGTGAAAAATTTGAATGTTTTATATGAAGGAATTTTTAAAATTCAGCTTATAATTTGAGAATATGGGTAATATGCTACAATAGAAGATTGGGTTTGAATTTGTGGCTGGTGCATCTGTTTGTAGAGATGAATCCAAAGTTCTATCTTCCTACATTAATGCTATATTAGGGATGTTTGCTAGAACATGCGTTGATCTTTTCACGTATTTTTTACTAGTCATTATTAGCATGATTCTAAAATCTTGGCAAGATTTACATATTTATTTATTTATTTATTTATTTTTCATTATTAACAAAGGACCTGACTAAATTGTGATTCAAAAATAGTGATTATTAATACCGCTGCTTGTATAATTGGGGGGTTACTTAGAATCTGCTGGTATATTGCCAGTTTCTTTGAACTTCAACTGAAATCTTGCTTAAGGTGCTTAGAAGGAAGAAACTGGGTTTTAGTTCATAGGAAGGGCAAAACTCATAGGGAGGGGGGAAACTATGTTACCTGGATTTTGACTAAAATTCACGATTCCCATAGTATTCAAAGTTTAATCGTTTAGGTGGTATGAATAATCTTTGAAAAGTGGCATAAAGTATGGTCTCTAGGATACAAAATAAATTCTCTGTTCTTGTTTAACACACCCAACCTTGGATTTCTAACTTTGTAAGTTAGTCCTATCAGGATTATTAGTAAAGCCACCTATAAATGGCTATGCAATCCTTCTATTTAGTGGAGTTGTGGGATTTTATGTAATCCTTCTATTTAGTGGAGTTGTGGGATTTTATGCTGTCGTGGATTTTGGGGGGAGTCCTGAGGGATACCTATGAATTTTTAATGTCCTAACCATCAAGCTAGTTACAACCATTAAATCGAAAGTAAATTAAAGCAGAACAAAGAATGCACAACGGGCACTGTGACTTTTACATCAAAAATTCAAAACAGTAAAAAACCACGGGACCTTGTCCAATTATATCAAATTCCACTATCAAAAACAGAAAACTAAGTTAACAGTTCAATAACCCCAGAACCTCTAGTTACCTCTTGACAGAGACTGATCCACCATCTCACAAGGGCATAAAGTCCGATACAACTACAAACTTAGCTCCTCGTGAATAGGATTTTAGTGTTTTAATTTGGGAAGGAAAACAGGCTTGATTGATCGAGGAACATGTCGATCAATCAACACACATACTTCAACCTCTGTCAAATATCTCGATCGATCGAAGTACTCTGCATTGCTATATGAAGAAACTTTTAAGCAAAGTAGTTTCCGGAAAACACTGTTAGGTTAATAGGACTTGCGTTGGCAAATTTTGTAGAACAAAACTAGAGTATGTAACTTTTGGTTTACTTTCTAGTTAGTTTAGAAATTTTCAAAAGTTAGTAGTATATTACCTCTCAAGGGCGAAGAAGGAAATTTACTTATCAAAAAAAAGAAAGGTCGAAGAAGGAAATTAGAGCTACATTCAAGGGTATTTAGTAATCTTTGTCTTCAAGTTTAAAAAGTTAATTCAACACATTGATGCACACACCAAAAATTAGTTTTCATGTATGCATAATTAGGGTTTCCGTTTGTTACCTGATTTTAACTTGTTTTAATTCCTAGATCATTCAAATACGCATAAAGAGTTTTGGAAATTTCAATTCAGAGTATTGAACTTTTGTAGAGTGAAATCTATTGAGTAATCAATCAAGGACTTCTGTAGTATTGTCCATTGATAATGCTGTTTGGAAATCAATTTCCAAGTTGGTTTTAAACTCTAAAAATCCTATTCTCTCTACTTCTATGTTGCCTATTATATGTATAGTCTTAGGGCAAAAATATATTTAACTCATATAACCTATAATGCATATAGAGAAAGCATATTTCGGGAGTTCTAGAGTGCATCTTATTTTTCTTTTTGCATTCATCATTCTAGTATTGGTGAGTGTAAATTCATGTGTTGTCATCATCTGCTGTGTAATTCAACGAAGAGTTCAACACAATCACCCAATCCATCATTAAATATTAAAGCCTGGACGACTAGTGGCTGAGACCAAAATCACTAGAGAAGTTTCACGAGGAGAGGATGTTGTTGACAAGCGGAAGGACTGCCTGAAGATGTTGGGGAGAAAGTTTAGAGTTTTCTGGAGGTAACTAGGGGATTGTTGGGGTAGAATCCGTTAACCTAGGTTGTACGTTCTTTCTCGTATTGTGGATTTTTGTTTACTTTAGACTAGATTCCATGGTTTTTCCCCTGGGTTTCCATGTAAAAATTAGAATTTTATTATCAGCTATATTTTGAATTTGAATTTCCATAAAGATAGTTTTAAACTCGAAAAATTGCTGAAATTGGAAAGTCATCCTACAAAACCTATTCACTCACCTCTAGGTCAAGATCAAAGACCTTGCGTAACTCTCCATCAGAGCCTCAGGTTCCCACTCCTTACTCCTAGCAAACACTTGTAAGCAAATCAATTAGGATTCTCCCAATAAAATCATGAAATCTAAAACCCCCTAGTGCATGAACTCTAAAATTTGGAGAGTGCATATAGTAGTGTCAATTTATCCTTTGGTCTCGAAGATTACACTTTTGCCCTTGGTGGAATCTTGAATTTTATCTTTTACTTTGTCTAAGAGTTAATTAACTTCACACTAACTTTCAAATTCTAACCAATGGGTCATTAGCCCAATGTTATAACCTTTCCTCCCTCAAAGGGTAGGGGTTCGACCAAGATTGTTCTTACACAAAAGAGTCGCCCAGCATTTTAGGAAGCAAAATGAAATTGTTCTTACACAATCATATTTGTAAATTGAAATCTGTGATGATAATAAATCGTTTATTAGTATTCCACTTACAAATATGCTTTAAGAATTAGTTGACGCACAAAAGTGTATTTGCCTCAAACCCAAACTCAGGTCCTAAATTTGTAAAAATGTTGTTTAACCAAGATTCTTTTGTGTATTTCTGGAGATTTTCAGATCTCTTTTTGGCCTGACACCCTTCCCCAAACACTGCCTCGAAGCTACTGAGCCCAAGGCATGCCAATGCAGTGTTGACCTGCTACTTCGGTCAATTCTAAGAGATTGCCTTTGTAAACATGAACATGCTAGATTGTTCTCTGTTGAATTAAAATTAAGTTACACATATGCTAAGAGCCTAAGAAGATGTCGGGTGTTTGTTGTGGTCTCAATTTGTGTAATCAAGACGTTGCCAAAGTCCAATCGTGGAATTAATACTAGTTTTGTTTAGATGGAATCTTGGTTGTTAGTGTTGGTCCACATGATTTATGATAGTAAATATATCAAAATACCACAAGAAATAAAATGCCGTGGAGCCTCTTCTTTGTATATTGTGGGAAAAAACAAAAAATGCGGTAATGTTTTGGATAAGTTTTAAATGTTGTTCGATTTATTGTTATTTGCCTCTTGCCATGTATTATTAGTTATCTGAGAGCCTATTGAATTTGGAGTGCGTGACTCTCAAATCCGAGATTTAAGTGCGTGGCTTGCATAGTCATTTACTAATATCCAGTGTGTTTTACCTTTGGTAATTGCATGATGAGAGAACAATCTGCATATTAAGGAGATCAATATGTGTACATAGTATTAGTTTTGTTGCTATAGCTTCATTGTTTGAAGTTCTGTTGATTCACTTTTATAAACATGATCCACATGAAGCAATTTACCTTGCATTTCTTATTTTCTCCAGGGCTAAGTAAGAAGCCATCGTCGCATATCCATCGCACTCTACTCTTCCCCAATACAGGCACGCTAATTGTCAATGCTCTCCCATAGGCAAGCTCTTTCGTCTATGGCTTCACTTGAGTTGTATTTCAATTAAAAGGTGTCATGACTCTTGCGAAATTCAGTACAGTATATTCTAGTACCTCCCCAAGCTACCTATGAACTCGAAAGCAAATGTAAATGTGAAAATCGAGTTCGCTAGGCTTTTTTACTTTTTGTTCTTCTCATGTCGAATGGGACACCATTGATGTTGTGAGGCATCACTTGAAAAACATGTCCGGATGAACACTGTCTGGTCCTCAGTTTCTCATATATATGTCCAAAAAGCTGAAACATGTCCAAAAAACTGTATTTATATATATATATATATATATATATATATATATATATATATATGCTGTGTTTTTTGTGCATTTCCATCATGCTGTGTTATATATATATATATATATATGGGCTGAAACTACGTACCTCATATGTTGTCTTTGAATTTTTTTTTCATAAACCTATGTATAAAAAACACAGCATGATGGAAATGCACAAATCAGTGCTTGCATTAGTTATAGCTAAAGCTTGAGTATATGATTTCCCTAGAAATTGACTGAGCCAAGTTGGTAATTTTATTTCTGTAACTTGTACCCTAGATTTCCCAATAGATGGACTATATCTATTAGTGGTCTCGGATCTCCTCAAATACACAATAAAAAATCACGACAGAAAAGTATAAACACAATAAACAAGCCACACAGAACACAAATATTTACGTGATTAGATAAAACTATGTCCACGGTGAAGATCCAGTAAAAGATTTGACACTCTGGGTTTTAAGAGTGTACTAAACACAAATATTTACGTGATTAGATAAAACTATGTCCACGGTGAAGATCCAGTAAAAGATTTGACACTCTGGGTTTTAAGAGTACTAAACACAAATATTTACGTGATTAGATAAAACTATGGCCACGGTGAAGATCCAGTAAAAGATTTGACACTCTGGGTTTTAAGAGTGTACTAAACAGGTTTGAGTCAATTTAGCATCAAACCACACCATAACCAACCCATTTATCATTAGAATCAAACAATCGAACCCAACTTTGGTTCTGCAAGGATTTTGTCTATTTATAATTATTGGCAAGCTAAACAGTCAATGGTGGAAACACTTTGCGCATGCTTTCACTCACACTGTGTGAGTTAAATTTTGTTGCTTTCACAATGTCGCACTGTGTGACCTAGATCAGGGAACATCAAATAACTGGATCCGCAATCTTTTCGGGTTAACCCAGTCCAAGTTTCACCCTTTAGTGTGACAATTCCATAATAGGGCCTTGCTAAAATTTTGAAGCAAGAATGTGTTAGCTACATACCACCCATATTATATGAGTTCAAGTTAGGACAAGAATGTAAACCATATTTAAATTCAAGGAAACATTTTTCCAACGAGATGATGATTTTTCCAACAAGATTGCACCATCTAATTTATATTTTAGGACACTACAATCCAAGAGAGATTAATATATTTCAAAAAAGTTAAAATAATCTTCCAACATAATCACATGGCAAGGGAGAGAATCATGTGTTGAAAGTCTACTAAAAACAACAATTAATCTTAATTTATATAAAAGCATGATAGGAATTGTTGTTGATGATGAAAAGATTAAGGGGTGTCTAAAATAGTAATTTTGGGTGAAGAAGAAAGTATAAAAAGAACAAATGGGAGGTGGGGGTGGGGTTGTTTTTCTTTGCAAAAAGATTGTGCCTTGACAATGATGTAGCACCTTCATGAAGCCTTTTTGAACTCTCAAGGTAGATGTTGACCCCATCCACCTTTGACACTATCAACCAACTACATTAAAATAGGGTAGTTTTTTTCTCTCTCTCAATAAACTTTAGTGCTTGAGAGTTTGTGAATACGATTGATTCTTTTCATATTTTGGCTATGTTGGTACCTATAATTGATTATGTGGTTTGCAATATATATATATAGAATTATACACAATATGGTGATGTTAGCATTGTCAATTAACTCTTTGATCTCATTTTGGTCTAGTAGATTCAAATCCTAGATCTTCCCTTGAGAGAAAATATACAATTGTGGCATTGGATCCTTTGTTATAGCGTGCTGTAATTTTTCAACCTAATTAAATTTAGTTTTAATTCATTAAATCTGTTAGTTAGTGTTTGTATGTATGTAATATGTATATGTATCTATGTAACATATTTGACATGAATTGCATGGAGAAGATTATCTATATCTTACACTTTTTATTACTTGTCCAAAAATATTGAAAATATATAGGACTTGCTTGATTTATGGCTTTAAAAACAGTTTTAGAGAACAATAAAAGACAGTTCTTTAAAAACAAATCTTTTTATAACTGAATTTTCAGAAAACTGAACCATGTAGAATTTGTTTTGTACAGTTTTTTATTTTTCAGTTTTTTGAAAATAGTAGAGTTACAAAACAAGCGAGGTCATATGTTTTTTTAACTCTAAAAGTAATTGCAATGAATAGATAGTGAAATAATGAAATTTCTTATACTTTTTTTATTTGAAATAATATGCTAATTTGTTACTAATCAATTGTTTTATTATTATTATAAAAGGAGAGAGAAAAGGAAGAGCTCCCCTATACATCTCAGGGTTAAGTTTGGAAATTTCCAGAGCTTTACGTTTTATCTAAAGTATTATTAATTTATTATTATTATGGGTTCTTTAGCTACTAATGCTGACTATAATATTTGATTATGACATGAATAAGTATGATTTGTAGATATTTTAAGCTCAATACGTTCTCTAATCAATTGAATGAAAATTTCAAGATTTGGTGTCATTCAAGATCAATTGAAAACAACTTGTGGGCCCTTGCAGCTGTAAAAAGAAGGGTGAGTCAATGTTGAGGACGCTCTCGTTTATTTGTCAATCGTCCGATCAAGAGTGACATATTTTTATTTTCCTGATTGATAATGACATGTTTTTATTTGAAATAATTACACTTACTTATTTTATAAATTGCCTATAAAATAAGTACGTGTAATTATGGTTTCGAATATAACTTAACATCCTCTTTTAGACTTTGATCCAAAGGTTTTAAATTATTAGTCCCTCTATTCTATAAAAAAATGTCATATTTGTGAGTCACGATTTCTTAAATATGATAACTTATGAGTCACAGTTTTCCAAATATAATATTTTTTATGAAATGAATAGAGTATTATATCAATTGTATTCTTGTTATTTTTTTTAATGTAAAATATTTATTTTGTACGGATGAATAGTCTTTTCAAGCTTCTTAGGGGTGAGGGGAGTCTACGAGCTCTTGGTTCACCTGCTCTATACTACCTGCTGCTTTAACTGAACTCTCAGTTTCTACTTCTGCAACAACCGAGACCACTTCAACGGACTCATATTTGAACCAGATGAAAAATTAGTGTTATATTTGAAAATATAGGGAAGGTTTTTATTATTTACTTATTTAGGCAATCTAAAAGCGAAGTAGGTGTAAAATTATTCCTTTTTATTTTGACGATTAAGAAAGATATTAAGTGTATCAGATGCACGATACATCTTAGCTATTTGTGTATAATACATATCAATACATACACAATACATGTGAATGGAATAAGTCCGATACACAATGCAATGGGCACCCACAACACTTCTCCATCTTGAGAGTGGACATGAAAAATGAAAATGGATATGTTGAATAAAATGAGTGGCTTGGTACTTTAGTGATGTGGGAAGTAAAAATTATCACAAAAATCTAAGAGAAAAATAAAATACTAAAAGTTTTTGAGTGAGATATGAATGGATTTGTCCACGAGGAATAGTCATTTTACAAGATGCACATCAATGCCACATCAGTTTCACATCATCAATTGTGTCGTGTCTGTCATCATCCACGTCAGTATCACATTATTTTTTTCAAAAATTAAAGATTTTTTTAAAAAAAGGTTAAAGCAAATACACAACCAATAACATACATCTCAAATACACGCAACTATATATGTGCTATATATGTGGTATATTACAAGATTAGTTACTTCTACGATAATGTTCAAGATTAATTATTATCATTTTTATATTTTCGATTTTGGCCTCAATTTTAAAAGTGCTTCAGTACTATTCAAATGACAACAAATGTTATCAAATATACTTCGTGTTTTTGTTTTATTACAATACACTAACAAAAATAAAAAAACACGAAACAAAAATATTAGTGAAACGTGCCCTAATATTGCTGCGATTTGAATAGTTTTGAAATGTTTCTGAAAAGGAGGTTAAAATCGAAAACATTCACCACTTTAGTGATGAACAAAAAAAAAAAAAGTCTGAAGTATCATTTTCAACTAGCTATTTTATTTTTATAACTTGCAACATTTTTTTTATCAACACTTGTTTTCATGTTTTTCCTTCCAAAAATCTTGTAACAAAAATACTTTAGCAAACATGTTTTCGAGGCCAAAGCACAAGACAACTCTGGTTTCCAAACAGACTCTTAGTTAATAGCTCCGTTATCTCTAAAAAAAAATTTCATTTTTAGGTACTCCAATTCTTTGCATTTACAAAAATTATAGTTGTGTGGTGCTTTCATGCAAGTGGGTGTGAGTTTTTTTTTTTTTTTCTCAAATAAAGATAATAAATAAAAATCTTTGCAAATTGTCATTTTGAAATTCTAAAACTACTTGTTATTAGTTTAATAAATATTTACATTGTAAATTCTAAAAAAAATATATTTATATTTTACCTTTACAACCCAAAAAACAATATTCAAAAATAGAAAAAGAAAAAAGAAATAAAAATTTTGAAACAAAATACGACCATACAAACAAAGTTTCTTATATCAAAAGCTCCGATGTAACCCTTCAAGCCAACAACCATGGAACAACATGCCGAGTTTAGTTTACTTAATTCCAAATATATACAAACTAGATAAGCAGACAAAAGCAATAGCGCGTGGGTCCCACATAGGACTAAAATCCTCTATCTCAAGACTTTTTGTGCTTGGTCCCATTGCTTTGTGCCCTTATCCAGCAAATATTTGATACTATAAATTTTAAAATATAAATATGACAAGATACCTCTAATAATAATAATAATATATTAATATATACTGTTTGTTTTTTTGTTCATTCTATTCATATAACACTAATAAATAAAGTGATTAATTTATAATTTAGAATTATATATTTTAAATAAAAAAATTTAATTAACTCA